AACCCCGCCCCCTGGTGGGCTGAGCTGGCCACACACACACACACACACACACACACAAATAAAATTAAAAAAAAGAAACAAATTATTATCCTGATGAGAATACAGTATGTTGTAAACCTGACGCTAATCAGTGTCCCTTGTACCATTCATGAATTATTACACTGCAGGCTATGATGTTAAGATGCCCACGTGTGCGAAGCATGTTTGTTAAAGCTAATTTTACTTTCTGTTAATAGGAATGACTCCTTTTTGGCATTTAAATGAGGGTAGAGCTGGGAAGATAGCTCAGAGGCAAGCGCAAGGTCCTGAGTTCAATCCCTGGTACCACAAAATAAACAAATAAATGTGGGGAGTAAGTGATACTGTGTGAAATAAGGTGTTCTTAAAGTCCTCTGGCCCCATAGCACTGTGTAAAAGACAAACTGGACCTGCTGCTCTTTTTAGAGTAGAAATGGCTGTTACTCTTTTAATGACAGAGCCTAGTAAAACTCAAATTACCCTTAAACCCAAGCCAAACATTTCTTACCTGAAATAGCAAGCTGCTGGATCTTGAACTGTATGTTGAGGCTCGGATTTTCTTCTGGTTTGGGTGCTCCAGACTGCAAATTTACCAGTCCTTTAAGACTTGGGAGCTTTTGTGGAGTAATTTTCCCCACATCCCACATTAGTACCTTAAAAAGACAAAAGAATTTGAACCGTCTGTTAAAGACAAATGCTCAAAGAGAAGGTTCAAAGACAATATAAACTTTCATCCAGAATAAGAGTGTCTTCCAAACGAGACCTGGTATCCATGAGGATCTTACCATTAACTAGCTCTACGATGCTCAGTGGGGAGTAATGATGGAGAATGAGTGTTTACTTTTGAATACAGCACTAGCCTTAGCCAATTTATGCTATCTCATAGAGGCCTGTGACGTAGATTTTGTCTACTATTTACACATATCACATGACTTGCTCAAGGTCACATAGAATAGGACCTGAACTTAAGGGTACGAGTGCAAGCTGAAAATATTCTTCCCATTGTCTTACCTTTATGACATCTCTACTCCTATTTTCTGTACAATGAGAATATCACCCTATACTTCAAATCATCCATAGCCCTCTTTATTCTTTTTATGTATTTTGTACAGGATCTCACTATGCAGCACAGACTTGTAGTGATCCTGTTTCAGCCTCCTCAACACTGGATTACAGGTGCGCACCTCCATGCCAGATCTCCACACCTGGCCTCAGTGGCGTGGCATGCCCAGGGGCAGGGTCGGCAAGGGATTGAACCCGGGTCCTTGCGCTTACCTAGGTAGGCGCTTAAGACTGCTGAGCTATCTCTGTGGCCCCTCTTTATTTTTCAACACAAGGTCTCATTAAGTTGACAAGGCTGGGCTAGATTTTGTTATATCCCTGTCTTAGCGTCTCAGTGTTGCACTACACTTTTTATTTGGTCTCACAATTAGTCCAACCTGACCATAAACTCACTCTGTAGACCAGACTGACCTTTAACTTACGTAGCCCAGGCTGGCCTTGCAATGTTGCTTCAGTTCCCAAGTCCTGGGATTATAGGTATACACTAGCACACCCGGACTTTGTTTTTTTTTTTTTTGGGGGGAACCAGGGATTGAACTCAGGCCCTTCAAGCACTTATTTTACTGAGCTATCTCCCCGGCCCTATGTTGGTATTTTTAAACCTATGGGATCCTTTGTTCAAGAAGAACTCTGTGTGTGTGTGTGTGTGTGTAAGCTCAATAGATGAGGAGAGTGAAGCAATCAAAACTGATGCTGGGATAGAGGGCCTAAGGATCTGGTACTCCCCCTGGTTAGTCCTATGTGGTCTCTAGAAAGGTTCTTTCAATCCTGAAGGAACCAGCATAAATGATCTTTAACATCTTATGACTTTATTTAAAACTAAGCCTTTTTAATTTATTAGGCAGCTCAATGATTCTGCTGTTGAAAACCACCATATTTTCTATTTGAACACAAATCTGAGACAAAAATCATCTTTTAGAGTTCTCTGAAACTGCTAGAGGCATTTGTAAGTAGGGTAAGGAAGCGGCTTTCCTAGCCCAGAGGCCCTGTGGAAGAGTAGGAAAGAGTTTTTAAGTTAAAAAAAAAAAAAACCAAACAAAAACAAAAACCCAAAAATGTCATGAGGCTCAATTTGTAGAGAAAAACTTAAATCAATAAACTACCATATTTTCTTATATCCACATATTTTTCTCTCTTAAAAAGATTTTACGGGCCAGAGAGATGGCTCAATGGAATAAGCGCTTCCCTGGCAAGCGCAGGGGCCTGAGTTCAGTCCCCAGTTCCACAAAAAACAAAACAAAACAAAAACAAAAACAAAAACAAAAAAGATTTTACATCCTTTATTATTAGCACAGTTTTTGGATTATCAATAGGCGAGTAATGTACACTGTGAAAGACAACAGCATACATCTCTCTTCTGTTCATCTACTTAGTAGCAGATACAAGATTCCTTCCAAAGCTGGTGGCAAGAGGACAGTGTGCTCTTTAGGGTTGACTGGAACTTTACTTTTGAGCAAGACACCAAACCCTCCCCCAGACACAAAATAGATTGCAGAAACACTTGCTCACTCTTGATTTGAAGTGGCTGTACCTTGGTGACTGGATCAAATGTATAGCTGCCTTGTGTTGGTGTCAGGTTCATATTCAGCACAACTTTTGGCATGTGAACTGTCACTGTAATTCCTTCAATAGTTTTTCCCATGTTCTGCTTTGGTCCAATTGTTATATCAAATCTGCCACAAGAACTGTTCTCCTTAAAGCTGATACTGTGTTTCACATATACAGGTATTGCCACTAGACTAAAAAGACAGAAACATGCAAAACACAAACACACATACAGTTAGTTGGTGTAGGACAGCTTGAAAGGTGGCCTCAAGGGCTCAGCCCAGGTTATCTGACCCGGGCTCCAATTCCACAGCAGGGAAGTCTACCTTAGAACTGCAGACTCAGCATCTATACACAGGGCAACAAGGTTCTGTAACAATGTGTTACATGAATCCTTAGCAGAAACATACAATCCAAGACAGAAACCTTAAGATTAATTGTAGTATAAATATTGGAGAAAATGTCTCTAGCTAAAAGAAAAAAATCTCACTGAAAAGTAGCTTAAAATTATATATACTAAAATGTTCCTTTGAGCTCAGGCATGGTAGCACATGTCTTTAATCCCAGCACTTCAGAGGCTGAGGCAGGAGGGCTGTAGTGTTCGAGACCTAGGCTATAGAATGAATTCGAGGCCAGCCTAGAATACAGTGAGAACCTGTTGTAAAAATAAAAGTTCCTATGTCATAGGAGCCAAGAAATAATTCCATTTGAGTGTTTCTTTTTTTGGGAGGTGATACCGAGGAGTGAACCCAGGGTATTCACACTGAGGTATATCTCATCCCATCCCTTATTATTTTGAGACAGTCTCACTGAACTAACCAGGTGGCCTCAAACTCGTGATCCTCCTGCATCAGCCTCCCAGGGTGCTGAGATTATAGGTGTGTATCACCACACCAGCTGAGTCTGTTTTTTGGCGGTAGCGGGGATTGAACTCAGGACTCTGCGCTTGCCAGGCAAGCACTTATTCTACTGAGCTATCTCCCCAGCCCCGAGTCTTATTTTATGATGTTACCCAAATGTATGTATGTATGTCTGTTCTCTCTCTCTCTCTCTCTCTCTCTCTCTCTCTCTCTCTCTCTCTCTCTCTCTCTCTCGTTGGAGATCAAACTCAGGAAACTATGCAAGTACTCTACCACTATGCTACATCCTCATCCCGTTTTCTGATACTTTCAAGGGACAAAATACCTGCGACCTACAATGCTAAATTATTCCCTAAAAACTCAATGCAGAGAGTGATGGAGTGTCCTGGGGTAATTCTGTCTCATTCTGCACAAACGTATAGTCCATACATCACAGAGAAAAATTATGGTACTAATGTAGTTTTGTCTAATTTATAATGCTTATCCCAAAATGCTTGTTCTTGGTGACAGATTACATCATCATCTTATTATTTCTCTATACTCTTAGATTCCTGCCTCACTAATTATTTTAAGAACACGTTTTCTCCAGTTTTTGGGTCTCCTGATGAGTTATGGTTAAAATAAGGAACGATGAACTCAAGTACTAAACTGCTGGAGTGCTACAGAGAAAAGTGAGTTCTATTCAGCACACTGCTAAGTGATGACAAGTTCTATTAGATGTATCAACGTACTTTTGTGAGCTGACACGGTATGAAATGAGTCGGAAATTTCCATCTGGAGGAATAAATGACAAAACTCTTTCAGATTCCCAACGCTTGAACCGGATGCAAGGATGGAAGCTGACATCATCCAGAAGCCTTGGGTTCTGCCAGAAAAACAAAGACAGCTATTTTCAGAGTATAATAAATATGACCATGCTACTAAAATATGAGAAATAAACATGGTCCCTGAAGAAAAATCAGTTACAAAAAGTTTATTATAATTTCAGTATGCTTTAGAGTTTGTGAATATTTATATACATTATTTTATTTGAAATTTCATAACTATAAGAGAAAAGCCAAGTAATAGCAAATCCATTCCACAGATGACAAAAAGGTTCAGAGAAACCAAGGTCAGGAGAAACTGGTGACAGACTTAGAACTCACTTCTCTTAATTGTTCTTAGCAGCGCGGCATGCTGAGTCTAAAATAACACGAAAGTCCAATACTAAATATCTGCAAAGCAGATAATAAAAATTTTTTTGACACTGGAGATATACAAACACCAGCTCACAAGCCAATTACAAGCTACTTGTTGCAAATTTTTTTTAAAAAATGTATTTTGTACAGGGTCTATAGGATGTCACTACACAGATCGGACTTGTAGTGATTCTGTTTTTCAGCCTCCCAAGCTCTGGGATCACAGGTGCACACCAAGGGGCATAACCAGTCTCAGTTGCCCCATCAGCATGCCCCAGGGGCAGGGCCAGCATGGCAGGCTGGCGATGAAACCCCTGGCCCCTGCATCTGACTAAGCAGGCTCTTTAATCCGCTGAGCTATCTGGCCGGCTCAACTTGTAGCAAAATTAAAGACCTCTCTTCAGCCTGTCCATAAAAACTGTGTTCAACACATAAACTATTATCTTGTAAAGGGGTAGGAGAATATTTGAGATAATCCTTTGCAAAATAAGATAGTTTATATCGCTTTTTAATCATACAGTACCTATATATTTGACATTGAAGAGATGAAACCCTAGAAAAAAACTTACCATGAAAGAGAGAGAGAGATCAGGCATTCCAGACAGCTTAATGCAAGCATCAATGACCCCCTGAATTTCTGCAAAGACTGTAGATCCTGAGGAAAGAAAAAAAGAAAAGGGAGACACATGAGTGGAATCTGGGTCTTTGCCACAGTTACCACTGCTGTATCTGCAGTGATAGAGACACTTCTTGGATGTCAGACTTACCAAAGCTTTGCACCTCTGTAAACAGGTTAGTGTACAGAGGATCCATTACATCAGTTCAGATAGCTTTCTCACTGAGTACTAATGCCTTTACTTAAGTAGTTGGAAAATGAGTGTGTATGTTAAGAGTGGTATGCATGTGTGCACCTGTGATTGGTAATGGAAACTGAACCAAGGCTGTTTGCAGTGAGCCACATCCCCAGCCCAATTTTTGAGACAGGATCGAAGTGGCTTAGCCTGGGCTCAAACTTGTAATCTTCCTGACTCAGCCTCTGGATGGAATATGCCAATTTTAAGGAAAATGAAACCTTCTAGTGTCCATTTTATAAGACTACTAGGTGTTGGGCTGGGGAGATAGCTCAGTAGAATAAGCACTCGCCTGGCAAACACAACGTCCTGAGTTCAATCCCTGGTACAAAAAAAAAAAA